CACTGTTGCCCCCCCCAAGCACCAAGAATATACAGTATCACTGCCCCAGACATAGTATTCCATCTATACCTTCTAGCTCATGGCCACTGATGGACCTCTATTCCATATGTTTATCTAATCCTGTCTTGAAGCTATTTGTATTTGTAGCTGCTACCATTTCTAGTGGCAATGAATTCCACATGTTAATTACTCTTGGGGTGAAGAAGTACTTCCTTTTATCTGTTCTAAGCCTACTGCTCATTAATTTAATAGAATGCCCATGAGTTCTCGTATTGTGAGAAAGGGAAAAAAATACTTCTTTTTCTACCTTCTCTATCCCATGCATAATTTTGTCAACCTCTATCATGTCACCCCTCAGTCATCATTTCAACCATAACCTCTTTAACCTTTTTACACAGAAAAGGTTGCCCTTTTTTGTTTCCCTTTTCTGCACTTTCCCCACTGCTATAATATCTTATTTGAGGTGTGGTGACCAGAACTGTACACAGTATTCCAAATGAGGCCACACCATAGATTTATACAGGGGTATTATGATACTGGCTGATTTGTTTTCAATCCCTTTCCTAATAATCCCCAGCAAAGCATTTCCCTTTTTTATTGCAGTCACGCACTGAATCGACATCTTCAGTGAGTTATGGCTCCAAGATCTCTCTCTTGGTCAGTTACCATCAGTTCAGACCCCATCAATGTATATTTATAGTTAGGATTTTTGCTCCAGTGTGTATTACTTTGCACTTGCCCATGTTGAACCTCATTTGCCACACTGATACCCACTCACCTAGCCTCAAGAGATCCTCTGGAATGCCTCACAGTCCTCCCTGGTTCTCACAGCCCTGAACAATTTGGTGTCATCCACAGACTTAGCCACTGCACTGCTTACTCCCAACTCCAGATCATTCATGAACAAGTTAAAAAGCGCTGGACCTAGCACTGCTTACCATGTTCCATTGTGAAAACTGCCGATTTATCCTCACACTTTGTTTCCTGTTAATTATTTTTAATCCAAAAGAGGACTTGTCCTCTTATTCCATGACTGCTGAGTTCACGTAGGTGCTTTATCCAAAGCTTTCTGGAAGTCTAGATCAACAGTATCTATTGGGTCACCCTTGTCCACATGTTGTTCACCCCCTCAAAAAGATTAATGAGACAAGATCTTCCCTTATAGAATCCATGCTGATCTTCCTCAACAGCTTTTGTTAACCAGTGTGCCTACTAATTCTATCTTTAATAACAGATTCCACCAACTTACCTGGTAGCTCATTATCTTCCCAACACCCACTTTTTACTACTATAGGGCTGCCAAGCTCCAGGTGGTGCCTGGAGATTTCCCAGAATTACAACTGATCTCCAGGTTACAGACATCCATTCTCCTGGAGAAAATTGATACTTTGGAAGACTGACTCTATGGTATTATACCCCACTGAAGTCCCTCCCCTTCCCAGGCTCCAACCCCCCAAATATCCAGGAATTTCCTAGCCTGCAGTTGGTAACCCTAAGTGAATAAATCAAGCAATGGAACATGATGAATGTGGTAAGAACTGCTGGTACAGTAACAAGTAGTGAATGGCTATCAACCACATTAACAAGGACAGGTGTGGCTGAATCGGATAAAGAGGACTGGGCAAAAAATGAAATGCATCACAGGGCACACTGCTTAAAAGAAGTCCCTCTAAATGGGGCTACAAATCCACAAACCAATCACTCCTCAAGGGCTCTGCACTATCCTCTGAGCATGCACTATAGGGAAATTACATCTAAGGTCTGAACCTGAGTCTTCTGCACGAGCCTGTACCATTCCAGCAAGCTACAAGCAACACCCTCAATCTGCTCTATATGGCAAAGTTCATCTGGTAGTGATACCTATCCAGGACAGGCAGAAGAAGAAGAAGAAGAAGAAGAGATTGGATTTATACCCTGCCCTTCACTCGGAGACTCAGAGCGGCTAACAGACTCCTTTCCCTTCCCCTCCCCACAACAGACACCCTGTGAGATAGGTGGGGCTGAGAGAGCTCTTTCGAGAACTGCTCTTTCAAGAATAGCTGTGCCAGAATTATGGCTTACCCTAGCTCATCCAGCAGCAGCAGGTGGAAGAGTGGGGGATCAAACACGGTTCTCCCAGATTAGGCCCTGCACACTTAACCACTACACTAAACTGGCTTCTTTACTTCAGGATAGACAAAATCTTTAATTAGGATGCACAAAATACAAGTGATTAAAATGTGGAATTTGCTGTCAGGATATGTACTGATGGCCACAGGCAGAGACAGCTTTAAAAGAGGATTAGACAGATTCATGGACAAATTAATCTTGGAGGAGGGGCTTTGGCTCAGTGGCGGAGCCTCTGCTTGTCATGCAGAAAGTCCCAGGTTCAGCCCCCCACATTTCCAGCTAAAAGGACCAGGTTGTAGGTGATGTGAATGGCCTCCACCTGAGATCCTAGAGAGCCGCTGCCAGTCTGAGTAGACAGTACTGACACTGATGGACTGATTCAGTATAAGGCAGCTTCATGGAGGATAGGTCTATGTCTAACAATGGCTACTAGCCATTGTCACTAAAGGGAACCTCCACATTCAGAGGTAGTAAACCTCTGAATAGCAGTGCCAGGAGAAAACATCAGGAGAAGCCTGTATGCCCTGTTCTTGGACCTCCACAGTAACTGGTTGACAAGTGTGCGACTGAACAACAACAAAATGTGTGAGAGAGGGTGCTAGCCTAGATGGGCTACTGGTCTGATGCAGTAGGGCTCTTCTTGCATTCTTATGACTCACCCCTCCCACCCCATACACACACTTGTGTCCCCTCGCAGGGTTCAGTCCTATTAAACTCCCTGGCAGTTCTTGGTGTTTCCTGTGTGAGCTTGCCGTCGTAGTGTTCTTTCTTCCTTGTTCGTGTAGCCCCGTCCACAGATGCCCTCTACCCTCCAAGCTATGGAGGTGATTGCCTGTTGTGTACACAATGATATTCTTTTCTTCCTTGTCTAGCCCTGGCTGTATATAAGACAAAAGGGTGAATGTTAGGTTGCTGATCCAAATCCTTGTCTGGGGGAGTTCTGGAGTTTTAGTTTAGTTTATTATTATTACTATCTTAAGACCAGTATACAAAGTAAGCATAACATGTGAGGGAGAGAGCAGTCATAATATACAAGAATAGAAATCTGAATTTAAGAACTTTTAAAATGCGATTCCCTTAATCTAAGAATTAATGCACAAAATTTAGCAACTGGATGTGTAATCTCTGCATTCTTATCTGATAGGAGCCAGTGAAGCCTTGCTTTGTTTGTATTAATGTGCCCAGGTGTCCTATCAACTAATGGGGTAATAATTTAAAGAGGAGCCTCCCTGTAAAATGGACAGCTGAAGAACATATGCTCTACCGATTCAACCTCGTTTAAAAGGCATGGGCATAGCCTTTCAGAGTAGGGGGGTTTATTGTACCTGCCTTGAATAACCGTAGATGGAAGGGCAGAACATCTAGCTAGGGCAAATGCCCTTCTAAAATTCTTTCCCTCCACTGAAGTCAAATATATCGCTGGCTCAGTGGTGCTTTTGATATTTAACAACACCCCGAGTTTGGAAGCTTTAGAGATGTCAGATTGACGCTCAATATCCTCAACTCTTTAATTAGCCCTTTGGCTAGAGTTCTGGAGTTTGTGGCTGCAAGTATCTGTTGTTGTCTTCCAACCCACTGCACCATAGGACCTATAAATGGGGCATGCTGTGAGTTTTCCCTCCCTACCTGCTTGCACATTAAGGAATTGTATTGAGTTCTGTAGTATCTGTTACTGCACCAAGTGGGCATTATTTTATTTGTTATATTGTAATTGCCCCATCCTGCTCCAGTTTCTAGGTTTCAGCACTGCTTAAATTCCTCCATGTGGGTCTATTAGTAACTGATCCGGCCTTCTTGTTAGTCATCACACATTGATTGATTGGTGATTGCTCCAAGGGAGAAGAGATGTTCCTGTTTAGACTAGTTCTTCTAGGAGGGGGGAAAGGCCTGGCCTTGCATTGGCTTTGCCCCTCAGCCACCCTCTGTATTTCTTCCCTTCATCCAGTTTCATTATACTTCCTCAACAGCTAAGTGTTTGATTTTTTTTGTGTTAAGTTGTTTCAAGTAAATCAAGTTGAAAAATGGTTTATAAGAAATGGTAGGGTTGGATGTGGGTTTAGCTGCCTGGATAGACACACCCCAACGTAGGTTAAGGCGAACATCATGTGGGTGTTCTGCAGTGTATTCCAAACGGCAGGCAGTACTGCGTGGTGACTGGTGGTCAGCAGTGGAACAGTTGATGTTGTAGTGCAGAATGTCAACTTTGCCATGTTATATTGTTTCTACTGATTTTGCTTTGCTGCTTCAGAGGATCACATCTGTGCCTGCACCAGTGTTTTGCTGTGTAGCTGTGGCCAGCAGCCAGTAGTGTAGAAGGGCCATAGCATTACACTGTCTACTAGTCAGCCTTTCTCATCTTTCTCTTGTAGCTATTCTGGATTGCCTGTTATTATTTCCAAGGCTTCTTTATTATATTCGAATTTTTACTAGTGCCTTTTCTTTTTCCTTTACAGAAGGGGGTATTATAGGGGGGTGACATGGGTCCTGTGGTTTCCGCTGACCCTGGCTTGAAATGTGCAGGGTAATCCCGGGACTGAAGTCAGTGATCTATTCACACTGCAAAGCTAGGCACATCCTTCGTGCTTCAGACTTACTCTTTTGCACTCGAAAGGCGGGGGGGGGGGGGGGGGGGGGGGCACGGAAGGGAGCGCGAGGCAGCCGGCTGCACATGTGTGTGCATACGCAGTTCAGCCGGGAGCCTCGATTGCTCCTGAAGATGGTTCCCTGTGGGCGGGTCTGGCCTCTCTGGACTGGATGGCTCCCGTGTCACTCATCGAACCAGGGCACAGGCTCGCGCGGAGAGATTGGCCCGGCGCCTCTTAACGAGCGCCTCGCACTCCTGTTCAGCTCAGCAGCCCCTGAGGCAGAGCGGCGGGCGCTGCAAGGGTTCCAGTCAGAGCGCTGAGGTAAGGCTGGGAGCGAAGGCGCGCAAGAGGCGCGCGTGACGCTGGGCGAGGCTCGTGCCATTCCCCGGCGTAGCTGTGCTTAGTTAGAAACTCGATGTCTGTTTGATTGTTCTCGTTATTGTTTTACTGTTCAGGGCTGTGTGGGAAGAAGGACGGGGAGGAGGCGAGACGCTCCGTCCCGCTTGGAGCTCTGCTCTTTCTCTCAACTCTCCTCGCCCCACTTGGCGCTACTGATTGGCTCTACTTCTTTCCTAGAAGATCAAGATGGACATCCTGTGCCTTGTGCTTTCGCTCCCTTTGGTGGCAGGGTTGGACTTCAGCTACCACCACACTGCGGAGCTGGAAGCTTTTCTGAGGGAAGTGCACAGGAATCACTCCTCCATCACTCACTTGTATAGCATTGGAAAGTCCGTGGAAGGTAGGGTTAGTCTTCATGCGCTCTTCTTGTGGACAGAGAACTTCCTTTGGGAAATGCTCCATAGTGGTAGATGTGACTGTGTCGCGGCCAAAATAAAGAGGAGTCTTGTGGCACCTCGAAGACTAAAGACGTTTTATTCTGCCATATGCTTTCATGGACTGTGCAGCCCACTTCTTTGCATGCAGTGAGTGGTACCTTACTGTGCAGACATTATATGTACAATTTATGACATTTTGTTAGCCTCTACAGACTCCTATTTATTATGGGGAACTACTGACAGAAACGTGTTAGTCCAAAGCACATAAAGTGGAATTAAGTGCCAGTGAAACCAATGGGATTTCCACTGCAGTCTGGCACAGTTACTCCAGCCAATTGAAATCAATAGGTTGGAATAACTTTGTGCAGGATTGTACTGTCACTTCCATTTAATGGTTCCAATTCAGAGAAAGCTGTTCATGCCTAAACCTGGATGAAATTATTAATTTCGACAGAATTGAGGCACATGGTTTCTTCTGTATAAAAGCCACATATGATTAGGAGAGGAGTGCAGGCATGTATTGGCAGGGTAATCCCACTTAATTAAATAAACCAGATAACATCCAAAACATTTTGAGACAGGTTGATGGTGCTCAATTTTTAATTTGTGGGTTTTTAATTTGATGAACTAACATGAAAATGAGTTTTAGGGTTGATAAACAATACTCTAATGATATTTAACAAAATATCCTTTGTATGTATTTATTCTATTATAAAATAAATGTGGAATTACAGCATAGAGTTCAGGGAGAGCAAAATGTCTTTTTCAAGGGTTTTCACATTTTTGTGGGAGGACATAATATTTTTAAAATCAAGAAATACATTTTTTTAAAATCAAGAATCCACGTACTGTTATTTTATGTCCCCAATTCACTGGTCTATGGAAGGTTGGAGTATTGTGCGGGATTTGTGTGTGATAGCATCGGTTAACTAGTGCTTGTGATGTTTTTGGTGGCACATGGTATCTTTCTTCCCCTGCGATTTTATTATTAACTATGGAGGAGGAGAGCTTCCAATTTATTCAGAGGTATAGTGGAAGGACCTTATCCCCCCCCCCCCAAACATGCAATGAAAACAATATGAAGGGGAACAAATTTAGAGTCCAGTGGCACTTTTAAGACCAACAAAGGTTTATTCAAGGTATGAACTTTCATGTGCAAAGCACACTTTTTCAAATACAGTGGAATGGGAGGTAGCTCTTTTATTACAAAGGGACTTCAGGAACAGAATTGAAAGGGAAATTGCTGAATTACAAGTTATTACAGCACTTGGAACAAAGTCCTCCCCAGGACTCAACAGGGATATTGGTTTCTTATATCATTACATATGCTAACTCATTCAGTCCTCACATATGTATTCGCATACAGAGGGACTATACATCCTCTGTATTTTAGTGTATTTCTTTTTCAGAATAGTATATTAGAATACTGAATGTTATACAAGGAATATTGGATTGTTTGACTGACATACACTGCTTCCACCTCGAAAGAGAAAGTAAAAATGCTGTTAAGTGACCTCTACACTCTGTGAGTGAATGGAGTCTCAAATGTATCTTGACATATTTATGACCTTATAACCTTAGCTTGTTATTTAATTCTGTTTTTGCATAGCTTAAGACATCTTCATCATGTTGCATGTTAATTTGCTGTCAGCCATCTATAAGTTTGAACCTTACCTCCCATTCCACTGTATTTGAAAAAGTGTGATTTGCACACGAAAGCTCATACCTTGAATAAACTTTTGTTGGTCTTAAAGGTGTCACTGGACTCTAAATTTGTTCTACTGCTTCAGACCAACACGGCTGACTACCTGGATCTATCAATATGGGGGGGGGGGTGTTGCTTTGATCAAGAAGCCGTTGCTATGGGAAGGAATAAACTCCTCCATCCCCCAGCTTCTCCAGACTGGCAGCTGTTAGCAGCTGTATTTCAGAGAAAAAGAAATCAGCAGGGGTGAATTTCCCGTATAACTTGTGGTATAAATGTCAAAAACTATCAATTATAGTCAATGGGAGGTTTTCCTGCAACATTCAAATTATAATTGACTTTTAAATGTTTTAAACAATCCAGTTTACTCACTGTCAAGTTATGACATTCCTCTAATGTGTTTAGCCTTTGGTTTAAAAAAATACTTTTTTTGTCTCTACCATGCAAACAGGTGGTGGTTAAGGCAGCTTTTCATACTTCAAGGTAGCTGTCTGATAGCTTTTGTGTAAACAGCTGAGTTTTGGTAGAGCAAGCTACTATAAACTGAAGCTGTTTTAGGGCAGGGTTGTTAAGGGGGGGTAGCATGGGATAGGTGATTTTGTCAGATCTCAGAAGCGAAGCAGGGTCAGTACTTTACCTGTCCAATGCGACGAGGCAATCCTGAAGCAAAAATAGGGGAAATACTAGGGAAGGGGTTGTGTGTTGACCAGCAGCACACGTGGTAGACTTCAGGCAGCGCTAGGAATGGAGTCAGCCAAATAGGGTGGGGTCAGGTAGGTAGGAAAGAGAGAGAGAGCAATGGGCAGATGCTCTTCTTATATACCCTAGAAGTGGATTGGGGTGTGTGCCACCAAGTCACATAGTCTTCAGTAATTCTAGAAAAATCTAGTTACTAATGGTCAGGAGATGACTGGGAGAATAGGATTAATAGGTGGGCAACTGCAAAGACATTCAACTAATGGTAACACCTTTAGAAAGACAAAGGAAAGAAAAAACAAGTAATGTTCTGGCTTAATGGATGGTTGTTAGTTGTAATGACCCAACAATCTGCAGCTGTGTTGTCAGAATGGGTGGTGGATGGCTGCACCAGGTGCTTAATCCACTCATGTCATAAGTCCTTTTGTTTTACAATGGAGAGCACGTGCAGCATCTGCAAAGGTGGGGGAAGGAGAAAGGTGCCTGCATGCTGGAGAAGAAGTCCTTCTATGGAGTCCTTTGCAGGATCACTCAGGCTTCTTGTGTAAAGCATGGCTGCTTCATAGGGAATTGCTGCTGGCTGCTATGTACGTCTGGTGTCAGGGAGGTTGATTTGCCTCCTACAGGGATGCATGGGTGAAAGGCATTGGGTATGTCCACGGGTTCACATCTGGCTGGCACACTGCTTCAGGGCATGGCTTCCCTTGGCTGAGCACATGTCTACAGTCCGGGACGTTGGCACCATCATCGGGCTACTGCACAGTCCAGTCCCCTGGCACACTTATTATACAGTCCAGCTTACAGTTGTAGTCCATAGCCTTATAGATGTTGTGTAAGGCTCTTGCAGGGCAACACATGTGTGTATGATTTGGTATTTGGTATTGGGCTGTTATATGTTTTTTAATTCTTTACTAATAAATACATGTCTTTTTATATTATATACATTAAGTATTAATTGTTGGCCCTCTAGTCTGTTTGACTTACCTCTTTAGGTTCTTGATCCTAGGTTTCAGGGTTAAGTTTGTTCCCCTTTTTTGCCCCTAGAACATGAATGTGACATGTTTTAATCCTACAATAACAATATAAAATATAGGTAATACCTGTTCATTCTCATGAATGGAGATGAATGGTTATCCACAATTGTAAATGTCTGTGGTGCTTTACATGGTATTTTCCCACGTGGGCTTTTTTCTGTATGGGCTTTTTTCCATGTGGGTTTTTTCCTGTGGGCTTTTTTCCAGTCACTGAACAACGCTACCTGAACAATACAGTAATGGTGCATTTCACTTTCTGTCTTTCTGCTATTCACTTGTGTGGGGCAAATCAAACCTGTCTTCAGCACTGGGCAGTACAATGTCTGTTGATATGAACTCGCATAGATATATTGTACTTGTATGGGTGTGTTTTAATTAATTTGAATAATTGTAATTATAAAAGTGTAAACAAATAACTCTCCTCCTGAAAAGCTTACGTTGGCTGATTTTATCACACTTTCTCCATCCCCTCAATTTACACCTTAATCTTAAGTGCATTTGCTTGGGAGTATGACTGCTTCCATATGGGGACCATTCCCCATTATTCTCTCCTTACACAGTGGCAACAGAACTTCCACACAGGAGTATTCTCTGTTTTATTGCCCCCGTACCTGCCACACACCCCCCAGTGCTGGAGTGCTTTTGCTGTTGTTTTTTAAATAGTAATAGGTATATTGCTGTAGTGTCATGACATTATAGTGTTATACCTACTACCATTTTTTTTAAGCTGGGAAAACGCCCACCAATGAGGAAGAATGGACAGAAAATGGCACCAGATTTGGACATGGAGGTGCAGAAAACCACACCTTCCCATCCACACTATGAACAGACCTACTTTGAGTATAGTAATCCCAGAAAGTTCATAACAAAGCAGGTTTGTGAATATGCTCTCTGAGGTAGGGTGAAACCCTGTAGGTGGATGACTGCATGAGGAGTTAATGCTGAAGCTGTAAAAACCTTGCTGCAGAGATTGGGGGGTGGAGGGGAGGACGGGGCAGGAGTGCAGAGCTAAAGTTTGATGTGGAGTTACCCTGATTCTCACTGAGTGCTTGCTTCAAATAAATATGACCTCAATTTTTAAGGCAAGACTCATCTATCCTTGTACACTCCTGAAATAAGGTACAGATGATGTCATCCAAATGAGATGGCAAGGATTTGCAATCTTTGTCACTGAGGAATACATCACTAAAGGTAAGCAATTTAAAGATTAACTTTCTTGCCTCTGCCATACTCACCTGTTTTTAGACTTTAAAAAACCCCCCAACCATTTATTCTGCATAGAACAGAGTTTGAATCCAGAGGTACCTTTAAGACCAACAAAATTTAATTCTGGGTATAAGCTTTCATGTGCATGCACACTTCTAGATGTTCAGAGCAACACAGTCAGTGGATTTAAAACGATGCAGCTCAACTCAGGATGGCTCTGTAAATCATTCAGAATTTTCAGATGCCCATGTGGACAGGATAGGCTATCTTGCTAAGAGAGTGAAACCAATCTAGTGTGGGTGATATCTTGTGCAGCAGTAAG